GCTCTGTCTCTCTCTGTCTCAAAAATAAACATTTAAAAAAAAAATTACCAAAACCTCAAAACCCATTAGGTATCTGATATCACTTCCATCACGGCCTCTGAATTGGTTAATAATGAAGCAAATAGTTTTCAGATGCAAGACTAAATGTGATTGGTTAAATGCACCATGGTTTAAATGCACCACTTAGCGCACTAATTGTTCTCCCTTCACATGTCGTTGCTCTCATTTGCGGACCCATCTTTGGTGCAGTTATATAGTTTGTCTCTTCAAAGAGAGCTGTTGAACATCTTAGTCTGGAAATCTGCCCCAGGGATGGTTATCAAGCCTTGGTCCTACATCTTGTAACTGGCCTCTCCCACACCACAGGTGAAATGTAGGTAGTCAGAAGGGAGAACTGAGCTGTGCTCTGAAGAAACTTCCTAGGAGATCAAATTGCCCAAGGATTCCTCCAGCCTCTCAGCCCAAGAAACACTCTAGATGACCTACACTGACCATTTTTTTTTTTTTCCAGCAGAGTAAACAGGCCCCAAATAAGCAACTTTTCAATCAGCCAGCTAGGTAAAGGGCAGAGCCGGGTTTGCTAACCTCCCATGTGGGTGATTCCCCTGGTGCATCATCTTCACGGTGTTCTTCAGACCCTAAATTCTCCACCTTTAGCTCCTTCCAACCCATATGTGAAGCTCGGGCTCAGGAAGGAGATTGGAGAAGGCATGAGTTCCCTACCCCACTTTCAGTGGCTACCCTGAAGTCCTAAAGTGGTTTGGAGTAGATCTAAATGACCTGTACTGAACTGTTCCCTTTTACATTTTTTTAATGTTTATTTTTGAGAGAGAGAGAGAGAGAGAGAGTAAGTATGATCAGTGGAGGGACCGAGAGAGAGGGAGACACAAAATTCAAAGCAGACTCCAGGCTCTGAACTGTCAACAGAGAGCCCAACGCAGGGCTCAAACTCATGAACCCTAAGATCATACCTGAGCCGTAGTCAGCCACTTAAGCGACTGAGCCACCCAGGGGCCCCTAAGCAGTTCCCCTTTAGAAGCCATCAGAAAATTATACTTCCATTTTAAAAAGACTTCCATGTCTTTGAAGACGGTGCTCTCCTTTGTCAGGAGATAACCTGTGATTTTCTGTATCTGATAACTAGAGCTGAGAGGGCTAGAGAGTGCCCTGTTTGGGACCTCTCAGCCCTCCCCGCAACACTAAAGCCTGGTGTGAAATCTCAGCAGGAATACACCTTTCTGAGCCCCTCCACCTACTCTGTGTTGTTGGGGTCAGTCATGTAGGAAGACTTGTAATGTCTGCTTCAAGAGCTCTTTGAGAGTCATTATGCTAAAAACTAAAAAGTCAAATCAGGAGAATGCAACGATAAAATAAAACTCCGGGAAAATGAATTGTGTCCAGTATGGCTCTTAAATCCACACAAGGTTGGGCACCCAACCTTGGCACATCTGGTCCTCCTCTAGCCACACACACCCTTTGTGGAAAAGTTTCTGATGGGCCAGTGAGGAATATGGACATGCCCCTTCAACCTTCTAGAACACTTTTGGTATGAAGAACACTAAATTCCTGGTGCAAACAGCTGGGGAAGGTGGACACGGTCCTGTCTAGTCATTCAGGAGTTGCTGCTGTGTATATCCCTCGCCTCCAGGGTGTGGATGGCCGTCTGTGTGTGCCAGTCCCAGTCCCCTCCCTGTGTTGGATGGAGCCCACGTTAGGATGGGGGGGGGGGGCGTGTGGATATGCCACATTTGTCAGCTAAATGTAGCACATTTAGATATTTAGACATGTGGAATATGGACCTCTGATTATTGTTTTGCCCCAGGCGCTGCAAAAGTTAGGGGTGGTCCTGCACATTAGGGTTTTCCTAAAAGCATTTCATTTTCACCGCTGCCATGTGATGGCAATGGCATTCTACGCGTAGGGCTTCCTCCCAGAGTGCAGCCTCTCCTAGGACACCCGTTGTTGTTTCCGGGGAAAGGGGGGTCACGCTTGAGGAAGCTGCGTCTTAAGCGAGGCCTTGAAAGATGTGGCTGTCAGTCATGGTGTAAAGGGCCCCGGTGGCCGGGGTTCTCTCCTCTTACCCCCCTCGCTAAGACCAGCAACAAGTTCCAAATAAGCCTTCGTCTCTGATATCTTCTGCTCTGTCTTCAACATACTCAACTTTCTTCCGTCTTGCCAGATTTTCCTCTTGACCTTGGTGACCCGCTAGCTGTTATCTCATTGCTTTACTTCTTCTCACTGTCGCATGACTTACGTAAGTGGTCTGGGGCCAGTGGTCAGGCTCCTCTCCCCTGGTTCCCTCCTCGGGCCTGGTAATCTGGCTTCCATCCCCACCGGGCCAGCAGCAGCGCTCCCTAAAGGTGACCTCACCCTTCTTCCGTGGCTTCCCGTTGTGAATAGTGTTAGGCAACTCCATTTGGAAACTTGCTCCCTCCTTGGCCCGTGGGATATTTGGTGTCACGTTAAGTCTTGGGTTTTCAAAAAGAGCCTTACAAAGGCCGACTATTTCCTTGTAGGAATCGGGTTTGCCAGTAGAATAAGGCTGTGAAAGGAACCACTGCTACAACCACATGGACAAACCGGCTAGGACTTGCCTCGATTATGGGTAGCTTCTTATGAAAATATTTAGTCATTACATTCTTCCTGTTTATGTTTCTCTAGTTATATTAAAAATGCTGGGGCGCCTGGGTGGCTCAGTCAGCGGAGTGTCCAACTTCGGCTCGGGTCATGATCTCGCAGTTCATGGGTTCGAGCCCCGTGTCGGGCTCTGTGCTGTCAGCTCAGAGCCTGGAGCCTGCTTCGGATTCTGTGTCTCCCTCTTTCTCTGTCTCTCCCCTGCTCATGCTGTCTCTTTCTCTCTCTCTCTCTCAAAAATGAATAAACATCAAAAAAAATTGTTTTAATCCTTGATTTGGGGGCACCTGCCTGGCTCAGTTAGAGGGGCACGTGCATCTTGATGTCAGGGTCATGAGTTAGAGCCCCACTTTCTGCATAGAGATTACTTAATAATAAAAAAAAATCTTTAAAAAAATGCTTACATTTGGAAAATCATGTGAGTACCCATTTCCACTGAATTTTAATGTTATCCACCACAGCTTAATCAAGTCTTTATTCTAAGATAACCACATGTCCCGGTGTGCCCAAGACGGAGGGATTTTCCAGGATAGGAGACATCCTGCACCTAAAAGCAGGCCATTTCTAGGAAACTAGCACAGTTAGCTAACACACTTGGTCTTCCAAAAGACCCCTTTTTCTTGCTGTCTCCTTACCTTTCAGGAGTTCAGAACCCTCAGCTTCCCGGAAACGTATCACTTTACTTGCTTCAGCGGCTTTAGACTTTCAAAACAGTTCTGATTTCAGGACATTCGTGGGCTTGAGGTTTGAACTGGCTTTGGAGAATGGAAACTAGCTGTCTAGGTAACCTAGAGTTACAGCATTGCATGAGAAAATTTACTTCTCTCCTTGAAGTCTGGAGAGGCCGAGTATATGCTGCCTTTATCATGACAAGAGGGAAGGTCTTCCCATGTTCTCCTTTCTTCTAATTTTACGTCCAGCTAGTATTTTGTTTGGAAAAACAATAGCAACAAAAATGTTCCTTTGGACCTGGCTACAAGCAAATGAGAGAAAATCTCACCTCTGTGATTTTAGTCAAGCCATACCCTTCTTGGTTTGGTTTTGCTGGAGATAGAAGCAGGGGATATCAAGGGAAAACTGGAAAGAGGCAAAGAAGGTTTTAGGCTTGTCATGCAGAAGAGGATTAGAAATAAAGCCTTAAGGGGATGCCCCGCTGGCTCAGTTGATGGAGCACGTGACTCTTGATCTTGGGGTTATAGGTTCAAGCCCCGTGTTGGGTGTAGAGATTATTTAA